GCCTCTGACCGCCACCGCCGCCTCCTTTCCGATCGCCGACGTCGTCAGATCGACATCAGATCTCAATCTCAGTCTAAAAAACAGGTAAATTCTTCCTAAAAAAATTAATCTCTCTAAATTTTGTATACTCTCACTATTTGATTGCGATTACATGTAAAAATCTAGATTTTAGAATTTAATTGTGGATTATTTACGAATTTTGTGAAGAAATGTGAAAATTAGAGTGGAAATTATCAATAAATGTGAAAATTAGAGGGGAAATTATCAATAATTTTGTGAAATTTGTGAAGAATTAGTGTGAAAATTATCAATAATTTCGTGGAATTAGTGTGGAAATTATCAAAAATTTTGTGAAATTAGAGGGGAAATTATCAATAAATGTGAAAATTAGTGTTACTACATATGTATGACATAAAATAGATTTTAGAATTTAATTGTGAATTATTTACGAATTTTGTGAAGAAAAATTAAATAATTTTGTGTATTTTGAATTATTTACGAATTTTGTGAAGAAAAATTAAATAATTTTGTGTATTTAGAGGTGAAATTATCAATTAATGTGGAAATTAGAGTTACTACCTAAATGTAAAAATTAGTAACAATCAATATTTATTCGGCTTTTCGTGTAATATTGATCTTGAATTTTTCACTCTTCAGAGGTAACGATGAACGATCGAATCGTAATTCTCTATTCTTATGATGGGAAGATTAATTACTTCGAAAATAATATGCCCGTTTATGAAGGAGGCGCGACGAGACCGTTGTTCATAACAAAATCGTGTACTTTCGATGAGGCTCATCAGCAAGAACCCATGGGGCGGGGAAGAGCGAGGGGAAGGGGGAGAGAGGGAGAGGAAGGAGGGGAGCTATATTGGGTTGTATTTGAACTTATTTTGTTAAAATTTGTAACTTTCCTGAATTTTTAAATACTAAACTTTTGAAGATCAATTATTGTTCATATACATAATCGTGCGTGTTTAATTCATGGTTGAATCATGTATATATTGTTGTGATTGTTGTTAGCAAATAAATTGGTATATATATGAGTTAATATATATGAGTTAACAGGTACGTATACAAAACATGCACAGCAGGCTGTGCATGTTTTGTATAACCTGCAACTTCACGGGAGTTCAACCCCCGTGAACTTGCAGTCTCAACTTCCCAGAGAGCGGCTCTCTGGCGATATTGTTTCATAAGTGCATAAATCTTCACGGGAGTTGAACTCCCGTGAAGATTTCATAGGAGTTGAACTCCCGTGAATACCCGTGAAGATTTATGAAGAAATTAAACTTCACGGGAGTTCAACTCCTGTGAAGTTTAAAAATACACTAAACTTCACGGGAGTTGAACTCCCGTGAAGTTTCCGAATTTCTTTTTACAAAAACCGACCTGTTTTCAGTGCTGGGCTGAAAACAGGTCAGTTTTTGTAAATTTTTTCAAAACCGGTCGTTTTTTATAAATAAAAACCCAAAAGGATCTGTTTTGAAAAATTTTCCATCAATAGCGTGAATCTTCGATCGAAAGTAAGATTTGTACAAAGGTATCGTTAAATAGCGAAAGCTAAAAAGAAATGAAGTTATGAAAAACAAATAAAAGCGTCAATAAACAAAGAGAAACAAGAACAATCATGTAAGGTATCGTGGAGGAAGATAGGGCGTCCAAAACAGCCCCGCGGCCTCGGCCCGGCGGAGCCCGGCGGCCTCGGCCCGGAAACCCGGCAATCCGGGGTCGGCTCCGGGCTCCGGGCTCCGGCGGGGCCCGGGCCGGCTCTTTTGTGCTCGCGCCCGAGCCCGGCCCGGCCCGGAATAGTATTTTTTTATTTTATGTATTATATTATATATGTATATATAAATATATATAATATGTATAATATATGTATATATAATATATTTTTATATATGTATAATATATGTATATATAACATATTTCTATATATGCATAATATGTCATATGTGTGTATATATATACTCTCTCTTAGTATATAAGTATATATAAGTATACTCTCTCTTATGTAAGTATATATATGTATAAGTATATATAAGTATACTTTCTCTTATATAAGTATATATAAGAATACCTCTCTTATATATGTATAATGTATGCATGTATGTATATATATACTCTCTCTTAGTATATATGTATATTATAAGTATACTCTCTCTTATATATGTATACTCTCTCTTATATAATATATTTCTATATATGTATAATATGTCATATGTGTATGTATATATATACTCTCTCTTAGTATATAAGTATATATATGTATAAGTATATATAAGTATACTTTCTCTTTATATATATATATATATATATATATAATATATATATATATTATATATATATATATATATATATATATAAGAATACTCTCTTTTATATATGTATAATGTAGTATGTATATATATACTCTCTCTTATATATGTATACTTCCTATTATATAAGTATACTCTTTTATATATGTGTGTGTGTATACTCTCTCTCTCTCTCTTAGTATATAAGTATAGTTATTACAACGGTTACTTCCCCATTGGCCCAACGAGCAACGCTACTGGTTACTTATGCGATTCTCTCTCTCTCTCTTAAATTATAACTTATAAATATATACAATATATTTACATATAATATATGTATATATAATATATAGTTACATAATAATTTAGAAGTATATACTAATACATAATTATATAAAATATAATAATATTAAACTATTTTTAGCATTTTTTTATTAAAAAAAATAAAAAAAACCTAGGTGAGATGTACTTATCTATTGTGATGCGATGAATTCAAAATAAATTTATACTTGTAATTTGTAAATGATTTATTAATTATTAATAAAAAATTATTTTTATAATTTTTTATTTGTAATTTATGTTATTTAAGTGATTAATAAAATTATTATTTTACTATTATTTTTTGTCTTTTTATAATTTAAAACTTAATAAAATTTAAAAATTTGGAAAAAAAAATTAAAAAAAAAGAAAAACCGGCCGCCGCCGAACCCGGGCCGGTCGGCCCGGGCCCGGACCCGGCCGCGGTACCCGGGTCCGGGTCCGGGCTCCGGTTTGCCCGGCCCGGGCCCGGATTTCCGGGCCGGGGCCGGACCGGCCGGCCCTGATGGACAGGCCTAGGGAAAGATATATTACTAAAAAATAAATGTATCAATAAACAAAGAAAGACAACAAGAATTACAAGATTGTATTATTAATTAATGAAAGATAGTACCGGATGAACAAATGTAACAAAAATCTAATTAATAAAAGTTTCAAAAAGGACTGGAAGGTAACAAAAGTGAGCAAAAGGTAACAAGTGGCCGCATCTAAACGGAAGGTAAAAGGACAAATTTTCAAAACCATCAGGTTTTGAAATTTATTCCCCAAAAAAGACCATTTTCAACTTTAATTACAAAAATAGACCCAGTTGGATGAAACTGTGTCTGTTTTTGAAAAAAAAAATTTAAACTTCACGGGAGTTGAACTCCCGTGAAGTTTTTTCTCATAACAAAACTTCACGGGAGTTCAACTCCCGTGAAGTTTGAATTTTTTTTTTCAAAAACCGACCAAGTTTCAACCAACTGGGTCGGTTTTTGAAACTGGATCGGTTTTTGAAATTAAGATTGAAATGAGTCGTTTTTTATAAATAAATTTTAAAAAAGGATGGTTTTGAAAACTTATCCGAATGTAAAATGTAACAAGAACAAACGTAAAAGTTGGGGGCCAGCTTTCCAGGAGCAGGGGCCCCTGAAATAATTTTCCATTAATATAGTCCTTTTAGCGACCTTATTACTAAGGGCATCTCCAACCATACCCTCCAAATTTGACCCTCCAAATTAGAATATTCTAGGAATATTCTAATTTGGAGGGTGAAATTTGGAGGGTTGCTCCAACCCACACCCTCCAAATGTTTTTATTTTTATTTTTATTGTCAAAAAAACCATATAAATTAAATAATGTTGGATATAGTTTACATTAATAATTTTATTGTTAATAATTTATTTGGGAAAAAAATTATAACATTATAAAGGTGTCGATGAGAGCTTTAAAATGAACCCAATATTAATACTGCAATACAACATATTAAAAAAGAAGAAATTCTAAAATAACAGTGAAAGCATACATCGATAGAACAAGAAAGCAAATATTAACCTCTAATACAACATATCATAGGTCGCAAACATAAACCTCAAACATAAAATATGATAAGAGACAATTAAAATTCTGGCAGATCATTATCGTTATAACTACCGGTTCCATCCCGATCTCTCGAAGAACCACCATATTCATTTCTTCCTATAGAACCAGCTTCGCCCGCAAATTGAGAAAATCCTCCTTGATTTCCAGTGGGAAATTCATATTTGTAATTTATGCTTGTATTTTTTTATGGAGCAAGTTAAATAGATCCCCATATTTAAAATTTCATGTCTGATACTTATTTATTTAATTTAAAAATTAATAATTTTATAATAATACTAAAATAAATTAATCTTAGTTTCATTTTAAATATCTCAACGAGCCCTTTCCAAATATATAATGATCTCAAATATTAGATTAATAATTTTTTAACTATATTTATTTGAAATTAAACATCTAATTTAAATTAATAAGAAAATATTAGATTAATAATTTTTTAACTATATTTATTTGAAATTAAACATCTAATTTAAATTAATAAGAAGGATGGCAAAGTGGTAATTTTTAAGAAACTGAAATTAAACATCTAATTTAAATTAATAAGAAGGATGGCAAAGTGGTAATTTTTAAGAAACCAAATAGCTAAAAATGGCAAAATTATAATTAAAAACCCATGAATAGTGTTATGGAGAGACCCTCCATTTTTTCTCCCCACCCTCAAATTTGGAGAGTGGTTAGAGAGGTTCCACTCTCCAAATTTGGAGATTTTGGAGAGATGGAGGGTGGTTGGAGATGGTCTAAACCAGACAAACCCGAACCCGGTCACCTTCCGGTGTTGGATCTTAAACCTCAACCCGACCCGTTTTCCAGCCCTCAGATCGTCAATTTTGAAAACTCCAAATTTGGGAACATCCCGCCTATTTAAAAAAGAAAAAAGAAAAAAAAAAGAAAAGAAAAGCCCGACCTTTCATTGAATGCGAAACAGCGCCTCTCACAATCTCTCCTCCTCTTTCCTTCTTCAGGTCAGTATTGCTCTTTGCTCCCCTGCCCCACGCCAAATTTTTTAGTTCTTCTTCGCATGGTTAAATGGTCGTAAATATCTACTCATTGGGTGCCCATCTATCGTTTTGACGTCTTTTTTTTTTTTTTTTTTTAAATCAGAGATCTGTGCGTTTTCGTGTACTGGATCCCTTTCAAAATTTGATCTTGTAAACTGTTTGACAAAATTCCTAAACGAGAGTTTTGCCCCCCGCCCTGGTATCTAGACATGGAGCAGGTGTACAAGGAGCTGGAGGAGGCCAGGACAACTGTAGAATCGTTGACTGAAGAAATCCGGGCTAAATCCGCACTCTTCGAGAGCTTGAGGCGAGCCCATGCCGAGCAGTCTGCGAGGCTTCAAGAAAGCAGAGCCCAGATTGAGAAGCAAGCGAAAGAGATTGATGCCAAGGGTGAGGAGATCTCTGTCACGAAACTAATGTGTGAGGAGCTCAGATCTAAGGTCAGCGAGAAGGAGTCGGCTTTCAAGCATCTGAGCTTGGCCCATGAAAATCTGAAGGCGGGTTTCTCGGAGAAAGTTTCGAGGCTGGAAGGAGACAATAAACAGCTTGTTTCAGCTTTGGATGAAGCCAACATGAAAGGGGAGGAACAGGGCGGGTTGATTTCTTCTTGTGAACAAGAGATCGAGAAGCTAAAAGGGCTTTTGTCGATTACGCGGAAGAAATGCGCTGATGCAGAGCAGAGGGCTCAGGCGTCAAGAGAAGCGAGAAGGAGAGATGAGACGATATCTAAAATGGAGCGAGACAAAGAGGAACTCGAAAACCAGCTTAAATGGAAGACAGAACAGTTTAGGCACCTCGAGGACGCCCATAATAAGGCCCAAGAGAAGTTTCGAGCGTGCAAGAAGGAGCTGGAGATGGAGAGGGCCAATCTGATTGATGAAGTTTCCTCTTTGCAGACTAATTTGGATTCCAAAACTAGGGTTGCTGAGGATCTCAGGTCCAAGTTAGAGATGTGCAATCAGGTTCTGGCTCGTGAAGAGAGCAGAAGGAAATTGCTCGAAATTCAGATGGCTGAGTCAAAAGCAATGTATGAGAATGTCATGTCGGACTATGAAGAGGCTAGATCGAGAATTAGATCTCTTACAGTGGAGAGAGATGAGGAGATAGCTGCATTAAGAAACTCATTGGCCACAAAGGGCACTCTTGCAAAGGAGCTTGAATATAGGGCAACACATCTTGAGCAAGAGAATGAAGAATTGCGTTCGTCTTTGAAAGAACTTCAAGAAGCTCAAGTTAATGGAGTGGGTGCAGCTGCTTCTTTGAAGACATTGCAGCAAAAATTTCGAGCTTTAGAACAGGCACACCGAAGTTGTTCTGAGAAAATGAAAGCTCGAGATGCTGAGTGGAGCTTGGAGACAGAAAAGCTTAACAACGAGTTGGATGATTGCTTGCTCAAGTTAAGTGACAAGGATGAACATACACGGTACCTACAGGCTGAACTAGAAGTTGCCCATTCCTCATTGATGCAGCAAAAGTTGGAAAATGAAGAGATATATGTGGTTCTTATGATATTGAAATCGAAATTTGTGGAATCCTCTTCAAGTCTCGAAGACTTGATGCACGAATATGGGCAGAACGGTGTGAAAGCGGAGGAGAGAATCCGCTTTCTGATGGAGCAACTAGAGAAGAAGAGTAGTGACCTGGCACAAGCACAAGCTCAGATTAAGCGAGAGCATGAAACAGTTGACTCATTACTGTCAAAGATGGAGTATTCAGAATCTATTGAGCAAGAATACAATCGGATGAAGAAGGAAATATCTTCATACAAAGTGATGCTTGAAGAATCATCACAGAAACTTGAAAAGTTTAAGAAACAAACTGTAAGCAAGGAAGACGACCTGATGGAGGATGTTAGAAAAGCTTTGTCTGCTCTAGACCAGGCTAATTGTGCTCTTGCCGAGAAGAGCAATCAACTTTGCAAGGTTGAGTATGAACTCAAGCAATGTAAGCTAGTAGTGGAGCAGATGGAAAAGTTGAGATGTGAGTTGCAAGTTGAATTAAACGAATGTCGTGATGAGATGATATCTATGAGAAGGGATCTAGAGCATTCCTTGGTTGCCAAGGTGAAGGCTGATAAAGACCTTGAGGAAAGAAAGGAGAGCTTTCTGCAAGCTTTAAAGCAGAAAGACATGATAATAGAAGAGCTTCAGGAATCCCTTCTTCTGCTTGAGGAAGATAAACAAGATATGGAAACCAAATTAGAATCTAAGAAGTCAAGTGAGTATGAAAAGGAAATTTTTTTTCAGTTTATGGAAGACATGGACAGGAGGCAAAGATCTGTGCAAACAGAAATTGATTCTCTTGAACAAAATTATGTTCTCAGAGAGTTTGAATTTCTAATGAAGATTGAGGAAGAGAAATTGAGGTCGCAACAAGTAATGGAAGAGAAAGAGAAAGTAATTACTGATATGCAGAACAAGATTTTATCGTGTGAACGAGATGCAGATATTGAGCTTTGTGTGCTTAGCGAGACACTGGAGAAGATAATGGCAGTTCACATTCTTAATCAACATGAAATCTACTTTAGACACAGTTTGGTGGCTGAGTTGGAAAAAGAAATTGATGCATTACAGAGGATGGCTAAATGTGGAGAGGACCTGGCATTTAGCCTGAAAAATTGTGTACACGAGCTTGAAGCCAAGTTAGCCGTTCTTCTCTTGGAGAAAAAGAAAGAGCAGGTTCACTTCGAGGACGAACTCAAAGTCATAATGAGTAGTAAATTGGCATTAGAAGCCCGAGCAAAAGAGCTAGAATCTGAGAAGGAGGCTCTTTATGAGTCCATTGTGCAGGTTTCATCGGATAGAGACGAGTTAGTCAATCAGATGATGGGGTTTGGTGACCTGATAGTGGACGTATTGGGCGAAAGTGAGGAGGTTAAGAGAAAGTGGGACAGGGTTACGCAAAATGCTGCAAATGAGAATGCCATTTCTGCAGATTTTCAAGTTGACGCAAACTTCAGAAACCCAGACGGGAAAAACTTCAATTCACCCTCAAAAAACAAAACAGGACAGGTTCCTGGTGTAAGGTCCCCGTTAAAGGAGCACAATAAGTACTTCTGTAATCAGAATCGAGTGGGTGATGTCCTTTAAGATCAAACTTTCTTTCCTTTGTCAGTTAATCCTCGTACCATCTCTTTGTCAAATGTTGTATTAGATAATTTGCATTGAATTCAGTTGTCTTGACTAAATTACTTAAACAATCTCTTGTTATGTTGAGAACTATACTTGTCTTGCGATGAAATTGTTTCAATTCTGTACTCGTTATTGTTAGAACCTTTTGATAGTTGGAAAAACTCAGGAAGCAGTATCAAAATAGAAGCATCATTGTCGGAAAAATTCTGCGTGTTTGCTTTTAATTCTTATTGCTGGAACTCTTGAAATGATATAAACCAAGGTCTGTAACCAAGAGTTACACATCGATTTTGCTTATTTTGGTTAATTTGACCTCCAGATATATTTGGTTAATTTGGCCTCCAGGTAATTTGAACATGGTACCGATTCAAGATTTAAAAAAAAAGTCAACCGCCATTCTCGAACAAAGTAGGATCCTAAAGCTTTTAACAAACATGTCTTGAATCAAATATTACAAGAATTTGAATCAAACATTACAAGAATCTAAACCCCAGTCCCCAAACATCAAAATGAAGGAAATGATTAGATTTGAGCAATGGAAGGAAAATGCATAACAATTATCAGTGGCTGAATAATTTTATGAACCATGTTCTATGTAGAAAAATCATGATCTAATTTTCAAGAAAACAGTTAAATGATTTAACAAAAGTGGCTTTGGGCATTAAAATAATAATCTCTGCAGATAGATATCTATTTCAAAATCAACTGTCAAAACTGTATCTACAATTTCATAACTGAGTTACAGGCAATAGCTATTGGCTTTCTTCCGAGGAAACAAAATCTAGATCATCATCATCATCATCAACATCTAAATCAGAAAACTTGCTCACAGTTTCTCCTGTGAGATCCTCATTAGTTTGTACTTCTGAGTTGCCATCAAAGTCAGGTAAATTACTGACCTTATCCTCAGAAAGATCAACTACATTACCAACAAGTTTGTTTGCTTCCTCTTGTTCCTCCGGCGTCTTAGCTAGAGACAATAATATGTTTTTCGCTTTCTGATCGGGTGGAAAACCACGAGCAGCCATCTCTTTATACCAAACAACAGAACTCCCGAAATCAGAGTTCTTGCCATGGGCATCCATAATTGTTGTGAAGATTGTTTGGTTGGGTTCCACTCCTTGTAATCTCATTCTCTCATATACTCTCATGACCTTCTCTAGGTTATTTCCCTTGGCATAACCTTTCATTAGAGTTCCATAGACAACAACATTTGGTCGTAGGCCATCTTCTTTCAAACGGCGGAAGAATTTCTCTGCTCCCTCCATGTCAGAGGCATTGACATAAGCAGAGAGCATCGTTGCATAAGAGCAGAGATCAGGAGTAAACCTGCGAAATAAATTAGATGGTATTAGGATAATTAACATCAATTTAGTTTTAGCCTTTAGATTTATGTGAGGGGAATTGGTTGTACTTGTCTCTTCTCATACTCTTGAACACAATCCGAGCTTTGTCAACCATTCCGGATATTGCAAAGGCATCGAGCAAAATGTTATATGCTTTGTGTGTTGGCCTAAAAGAAAAAAGACATAACAACCAAAAGATCAGGGAACATGAAAAATATCAATATCTAAACAGAAACTGCAAAAGACAAATAGCTGTCACTGGAAAGAGCTGGATATATAGTAATTTCAGCTTTCAAATTACTAGAGCTTAAACACAAGTCTACTGGCAATCTAAGTTGAAATTTTTCCTTGGAAGCGGGACCTGCGCCTGTTATATGGTTTTCCACGAGTGTTCATTTGTGTGATGTACACAAATTGCAACCACTTTTATCAAGGGTCTTATTAACAGTAGAGATTATACATGTTAATAATAGAAGTTCTAGTGACGGCAGTCAGATGTGTAGAAGCTGATAAAGTTGTTTGGTATGTACAAACCGCTCTCTCATTGGCAATCTCAATGACCTAACCGCTCTCTCATTGGCAATCTCAATGACCTATCATGACTATTTTAGCCAGAGAAAGCAATATTTTCTACGATCTCTCATTGGCAATCTCAATCGCATGTTATTCAAACTTCTGTGAGCTACTTCATGTAACTCCTAAGCCATACGAAATATAAAAAAAGTAGGGTAAATTGTAGGATAAGTGGATAAATCCTATGCACAGGAAATCGTCCACATTTTTCAGAAATAAGATTGAAGGCCTTCATATATCCAACATTATTATGATGGGATGATGTAGAAATGGATTTTAGCAGGAGAAACACAGCACCTGACACCAGCATCCAGCATCTCTTCAAAAACTGCCAATGCTTCATCTTCCCTCCTGGCCTTTCCATAAGCATTGATGAGAAGTGCATAGCTCACCACGTCAGGCTTAAGTCCAGCTCGTTGCATCTAGATACTAAAACCAAATTAAAATTAAAAATATCTAACAGTAAAGAAAGATATTGTTTCCTTTCTCGACTATTACATCTCTATCAATAAGACTAAGATATCGTCTCTTTCGTGAAAGCACATGGTTGTCAGCACATGAGCCATTACAGAAACATTTTTTCACAGAGAATTGTATTATAGCTAATGAGACACCAACCTATACCACATATGCAGGAATATTTCATTAGAACAGTTATAGCGGAAGGGATATCATTGGAGTAGATACACAACTCGCTTTAAACACAAATACAAAATCCCGAGTAGGCGGATTAGTCCGAGTGGAGAGTAAAAAGAAGTATTGAACTTAAAATCTTTTCCGGAGATATTCATTTTCCCGGAGAGACGGACAAGATATCCAGACACAGCGGCATTTTGATACCAACAGGAATGGAAAAGGGAAAAATATCTAAGGAATAAAAAAAAAAGAAAAATTGGATCTATGTCGAACGGATCACACCTACCAAAAAAAAGTTTTTAAACAAGCAACCACTGCAAAAACTTGGGCATCCCCCACCAACGTGTCACCAGTAGACTGTAGTGTTACTTAAAACTATCAACATGTCGCCAGCCTATGCAATGTGTCTTCTCTGTATGCATTCCAGAAACTGTTTTTAGACTCTCTTGTCAGATCTTCTGTTATCGATGTTGGAGATGACTGTAAATACTGAAGAATGGAGAGAAAAGATGTAGTTGGAACCAGTGTTTTAAATATCGGCCGCCATGTCGGACATGGCGGCCGATATTGCGGATTCGGAGCCTAGCCGCCACGAAATTGTTGAATTTAATGCGTATGGCGTTTTTGAGGTCATGTCGGGGACATGTCGGAAAATAGCGGATATATCGGGCGACATTTCGGCCATCAAATATCGGCCAAAATTCAGAAATATCGGTTTCACATTGACATGTTGAAATCATATGATTTGCAATATCTTTCACTTTCTATTTATGTAAAGTTTCGCATTGTTTCCCATCCACTACCCATATGGGTGCTTGTTGTAGGTTTTAATTACTTGTTATTGCATGTGTTTTCTTTATAATGGAAGGCTATAAGAACACATGAATTTATTTGTATTAGGTGCACATATACTTCGGTTTTACTAGTTTCTTGTTTGGAGAAATGACAGATATATAATAAAAATCCTGCAATTGTTAGTCGATGCAGTTAAGTAGTTTAGAATAGCAATTACGAGTTTAATTTTCAATTTCAGTAGAATTTTCTTTTTGTTCCTACTAGTATAATGCACGCGCTTTGTATGTGAACATTTTTTTTATAATCTTTTTCTTTGAGTGTAAAATTATGAAGTGACTTTTATAATAACATAAATTCTTAAATTGAACAATTAATAAATCTTTACATTAATAAATAAAGTTGTGTATAAAGAATTGTATTAGTAATTTTTATATTCTGGATAATTATTAACTTTAATAAGAATTGTCTAAACATATTGCAGTTAAGCTGTTCTAGTGTCTATTTAGTTTTCTATGCAAAAGCAAAAACTTGGTGGTTGCTTGTGAAAATGAAGACCTTCTCATATGTACTTTTTCATATGTTTAGACAATATAATTATCAAGTATGTGAAGATTCCATTTATGATATTATATCAACCTATCCGATATGGCAATCCGATATTTTTTCATGTCCCCCGATATATCCCCGATTTCCGCTATCCGACATGAATTTTGGCCGAGCGACATGAACCCGACATCCGATATTTAAAACCTTGGTTGGAACACTGGAGAGGGTTATCACTTATCAGAAACTACCATGTTTGTCTTCTATGAATCCTTTCCACCTCTTGTTCATTTAGATTGGCTAATGGCAGCAGCTAAAAGTAGCCCTAACCTTCCTCTCGATACAGAAGCCACAGGCAATTGTGCGAAACGGGTTGATGATTACTGTCACTAACTAGCAGGTACTTTATAAACTGGGTGGCACACAAGCTCCCCCAAGAACAATAAAGACGGGAGCTTAATGATTTTCTTGGTGATGAGGAAAAGTGAAGAAGACTTTGTTGATTAATTTGGGAAGAAAAGGAACAATTAATCTACTCAATGTACATTGCAGAAAACGGTCATAGTGTTATACCATCCTAAAAGCCCATATAGGAATGGCAAGGTGGAGCCTAACATCTCCCTTGTCATCATACTTCAGAACTGGGAGCAATACCAGTAGTTTGAGAAGGAGATAGTGCAAGATGTTAAGTAGGTCTTGTCATCCCGATTTAAACACTCTTCCATTTAAAGGAATTGGTCCCTAGATGTACACCTGAAATGTCTTAAACTCCCATCACAAGCAAACTTCTAGATCCATAATTTAAGAGGTTACTTTGACCAGTCTATCTGCACAAAGATGATGATAATAAGAGCATTCATAATAAGCACATGGGAAAAAAAGTGTAATTTGCTCTGATCCATCTGCACCTCCTCAAATCCCCCACCAAAAAAGAAATTGCCAAAAAAAACCCTAACAGTAATTTTAAAAAAAAACTAGAGAAAACCCCCTAAACCCCTACCTCCGAGAGCATCAGCACACACCTCTTCCGTGTGAACCACACAGAACTGAACAGAAATGCACGTGTGCATACATGTGATATTTATGTATAACTATTACTGAGAAGGAGGTAAGGAGTGGAAGTGGGAGAAAGCAATCTAACTAGTATGTACAAATAAAAGTTCATGCACAACATAAAGTACCTGATCATATATCTTTGAGACCTCTTTATAGTCGTTCTCAAAAGACATTAAACTATTATAAGTAACAGTTGATTGCGGTACTTCCTTCTCAGCCATTTGAGCAAATAGTCTACGAGCTTGATCATAGTTCCCAGATTTCTTGTACATGTAAATCATCATATGGAACATTTTCTGGTCTGGCTTGAAAGAAGATCTTTCTTCATTCAGAAGGCTTTGGAAAATATTTTCAGCTTCCTGATATTTCTCACCCTGAAGTTGCCAATATTAAAATTATTGAGAATGCCAAGATAAATAAAAGTAGTGCGCAAATGAGCTGGAAATATTGGCATGAATATTTCATGAAGCCCTTGAATGGTCTAGTGAACTATTTTAGGTATGAAACACTGACTATAATACTGAAGTGAACACGTCCTTTAATGGTCTTTAATGACAATTCTTGAAGGAATTTGAGATAATTTCATTCATCAGAATGGTGAATTTGTAGCAAGGACAAAATAGATATGAAAGAGAACATTTACCCAAATGGGTTTAAATATGAAGGCTGTGTACTATGGTTGCAAAAAAGTATCTGCATTCGCGGATATATCCATAGCTGTATCTTTTAGGATACAAACATGGTTACTAGATATCTATATCTGATAGGATACAAACACAGATACAAATATGTAGTAATATATCCAGATCCATATCTGAATATATGTCTATCATACAATTGCAATTGTTTTGATCATTAGATTAATGACTTTGAGATTAATTTTGATGATCCAAAGACCTGATCTTAGCTTTTCCGATATGTGGAACATATTCATGGTCTCGCTTGTGTGATCTATATATTTACAAATTTTATATGCTCTCATATCCGTTTCGTTTTTATATATATTTCTCTTTTATCATATCTGTACTTGATTTTGGTGGACATGGATATGAGTTTTTCTTTATCTAGACATCCATATTTGTATCCATGATTGGTAAGCGGATAGGGTATGGTAAGATCATAACCAATCTGTTTACCCCAACTATATACTCTGCTCATTTCATGATGTCCCATTTTAGTTGATGAACTGCAAAGGACTTCTAAAGGAATAATCTAAACTGTTAGTGAAAAGATGATGTACCAGGGTAACAGATATGTAGTACATACTCTTATGTTCAACATATATTCTTGTCATTGGTGTTCCATATTGGATGATGATGCTTCTCAACATGCCAATTCTACTCTCTTAGAAACTCATTGTGTTGGTGCTCTAGGTCATGTCGTATTTATGTGTGTGACTATGTGTTACTACTAAATGCCAATGGCTTAGGTGAAGTTATCCACATGGAAATCAACTCACCATGTTCCAGCAAAAGTTAGTGAAGTTATACTTAGTAGCAGACAATTAATGAGAATTGAAGATCAATTTATAATATCTCATATCAGGGTATCAATAGAAATACTTGAATCATACCTCATATCAGGACACCAAAAGAAGTGCTTGAATCGGTATATGAGAAAAAGCAACAAGAAATTAGTAAAGAGAGAAAGATGGGCTACCTCAACAAAACTTTTGAGGATGATCTGATATGTTACTGGAGATGGTTCAGGGCCTGATGACTGCATCCTGCGAAATATAGCTTCCGCCTTATTATACTGCCCAGCTCTCCCATATGCTTCCATCAATGCAGTTTGAGATATTACACTAGGAGGGTAACCTTTCTTGTTCATATACTTCAAAACCCTCTCTGCCCCGTTAAAATCCCCTATCTTCCCATAAGCTGTGATTAGCATTAAATAATCCATCTCCGAGAAACTCCACCAATGTTGGCATCTAAGCCACTCAAGAATCTAATAAGAACAAACAAAGAGACATCAATTAAAATAACATGGAATCACTTTATGGGCATGAATCATCTATATCATACTAAAGTAGCTGGTTATGACAATGAGACATGTGTCAATCATCTCTAATATATCTGCTTCTAAACAATTAAATCCATGTTTTCTAGCTCACATGTCTGCTTCTAAACAATTAAATTCATGTTTTCTAGCTCACATGCAGGGGCGGATCCAAGTGGTGGTTGGGGTGGGCAACTGCACCCCTAGAGATCTTACTTTTGTAGATCATGTTAAGAGCTTTCTGAAAACATATTATAATAGTGATTCCGATAACCAAGTCGAAAGTTATGAGCCGTGCAAGTTTCAGCATCTGTGCATGTTTCCAACCTGCTGTTAATCGTTTTAATATTGTCTTGTTAAAGCATTCATATCACAAGTTATACATCTCCGAATTGAGTTCTGCTTATTTCTGTTAAATAATCTTGTAGTTCCGCTCCCCCCCCCCCCTCCAATCCAAGATAAAAAAATATATATATTTTTTCTGTATCCGCCACTGCTCACACGGTATAATCTCTATACCCAAACCACTTATTTGTGAGATGATTTATCTCAGAAATAGTTACATTTAGATATTGGTTTCCACTAATTTTGAATGGATATTTGTCAAATCATATCATCACAGTATGTTTGTAAGGCCAACTCCTGTGCACATCACGGGTAACAGCTTGGGTAAGATTACAATACCTCACTAACAATTTTCCATTTCTTCAACTGCTTGAATCGAACAAGAGTACCAAGCACAAGATCTCTAGGGAGTGCCTCCCCTTTAGTCCTCTGGCTCTTTATAGTAGTCTCTGCCCTCCGCAACAGCCGAACCGTCTGATGGTTCTGTTCAATCTCTTAGTCATCAACAGCTCCTCCAGTTCACTTCTTATCAGACTCAGTTCAGTGGCTGCGTCCTTAAAAACCTCAACTTTCCTCCTCCTCTGCATGAACTTTCTCGGAGCCAGCATTCCATGGCAAACTACCTTCAATCTCGCGTTAGGTCTAGTTTTAATCCCATTTGGGTTCACCAAAACATTCAGTTTGCTGTCAAATTATCCATAACATTTCATTAACGAGAAAAATTCAATAAATAAGGATTTTTTTTTCCTTTTTTTTTTTTTGGGGGGGGGGTGGGTTGGGTGTGTGGGGGGTGGTGGGGGGGTTTAGCTGACCTGAAGGTTGAGGAGTTGGCAGAATAGGGGTGACGAACGGGCGGCGAGAGATCGACGTCGGAAGGGGACCACAGGAGATGGACGGCGAGGGAGGACTGTTAGGTCAGCGGTCGCCGTGTCCAATAATCAGCGAGCTCGGCGGCGGGAGCAGAGTGAACTGAGGATATGATATTTTTTCGGGGAAAAGTGAGAGCCCAGCAGCAAGTGAGTAAAGATATTATCCTACGATTTTTATTCTTTTTTCCTTTTCCCCCCTCTTCTCTCTATCTCCAATAATTCCATGTTAGTCTCTAGAGCTTTGAAATTTCTAAGTAGTAGGGTCTTACACATTGATCCCCCTCTTAGTTTTTCAATTACTATTTCATCATGGTTGGGTTAACTTATAACCCTACATCCTTATTAATCAAATTACCACTCAGTTAGTGGGTTATAAAGAATTTAGAGGAGATAGGGCAATTGGGAACGTCAAAAATGGGTCGAGGTGGTTCTTACGTCTGTCGAGTAAGATAATTTCGGTTGGTTTAAGGCTGCTTTAAAGTGGTCTTGGATTTAACACCATTATTAAATTGGTTGGGGAATTTACAAAGCCATATAACGTGAATTTTTCTAAAACAATTATATTTAAGAAAATTTTTTCGTCAATCTAACGTGAGTTAACTAAAGGACAAAATTTGCAAAAATCCATAAGCTTTGAGGGACTACTAAGAGTCTAGAGGGACTACTAAGAGTCTAAGAGATTTTGAAGCTTTGAGATTCTAATATGAAATTATTAAAGATTTGAGAGACTAATATGGGCAAGGCTCTTTTAAGCCTTGACTCAAAGTTTTATGGGTGTTTAGATCATTGTTGACTAGACTAAATTCTCTTTGGGGGTGTTAGTCGATTGAGATATTTTCATGCAAAATTGGATAATTGTTAAAGTGGAATAATTTTTCGCTAGTGGGATATTTTAGTGGGATAAATAGAAACATTTTTGTGAAGCGAGATATTTTAATAAAATAACGTGGGATAAATTTTTATAATCAGGAAATATATATTTATGCATTTTGACGATATAAATACTATTTATGTATTTTAAACTTATTATTATTGATTGATAATTGCTTACAAAAATGTTCTTTACTATTAAATAACTTTTGGTTAGACTATAAGATATTAACAATTATTTTTATAATGATGATCTAATGATGATGATACCCATAATAGGAAAGAAGTAAAGAAAAAATATAAAAATAAAAAATAACAAAATAAATATGAGTTCTAGTTTTTTACCACCTAGTTCCAAGCTAAAACTTGGAATAATTTGAGAGACTAGAACTCTTATTTTTGTATAGAAAAATAAAAAAAGGGGATAATTTTGTACCATTATCCCAATTCTAGTTTTGTTAGAGTTCTACTTGACTAACACTGTAAAATTTTGTTCTAGTTTTAGTTCTATGTGACTAACACCTTAAAAATTTATCCCACAAATTATCTCAGTTATAAATTTAAGTTCTAGATGACTAACCCCCCTCTTAGAATTTACAATAAAAGATCTCGAATATTCCCCCCTTGCAGTACTCGAATGCTATGCATGTTGAGGGCTTATGTTGGGCCGTCTGGGCTGAAAATATGGGTATAAGCCCGAACCTCAACTCCAATAACTTGTTCGTTTGCCTTAAAAAAATGGGAAATCAAAAAAATAGAAAACTATTTCTAAGAAAAATGAGTTTTTGAATTGTTTGGTTGGCTAAAAAAAAGGAAATCAAAGAAATGGAGATGAGATGAGATGAGTTGTCACATTACTATTGGATGATGTGAGTGATTTTTTAAGAAAACTAGTTTTGATGTTGTTCGGTTGGCGAAAAAAAATAAGGAAATGAATTATAAGAAACTTATTTCCTGTAGTTTTGTTGTTTTCTTTTGTTTGGTTCATTCTTAAAAATAAGAAATGAAATAAGATGAGATGAGTTGTCATTGTATTATTGGGTGATGTGAAGAAAGATTAAGAAAAGTGTTTTCACAACTTTTTGAGATGAAAACAAAGAAATGAAATGTTAATGAGATGAGGTGAATTGTTATAATATTTTATTCGATGATGTGAGTGATTTGAAATGATGAAAAGAGATGAGTTGAGTGATGTTTGGATGAAAATAATATTTTATTAGATGTGGTGGATGAGTTGTTAGATGAAAATAATATTTTATTAGATGATGTTGATGAGTTGTTGAATAAAAATAATATTTTATTGGATGTTGTGGGTGAGTTTTAGGGATGGAAATAGAAGAAATGGAGTATTTTGAGATTTCCACCTTTTCCATTTCCGTTTCTTGGTTTTTAGGAAATAAACAAACAGGCCCTAATGGGACCCAAACCGAAGTCGGAACCTATAAAACGCCGTTCCCCAAGTCCCCAAACTTTAAACCCCCCGCAGCCGCCGCCCCGCGATTCGCGCCTAAACGCAAAGGCAAGCCCTTGATCAAGCTCGGCGTCCCCAAATCCGAACCTCTTGAAACCAAACCACTCCAAATCAAACCTCCTACGATCAAGCCCGAGCCCGAGCCCGAGCCCGAGCCTGAGCCCTCGAAGGATCCAATCGCAATCATGTCCCAATCCGAGCCCTTGAAGGATCCAATCGCAAATGGAAAAGATGATCTTGTTGATGATGATGCTGATGTTGGTGATGATCCAATGCAATCATATGAAGAAGATGATGATGGGAAGGAGGATGATGATGATGAGGTGGTGGTTCAAGAGATCGATGTGTACTTGAACGCATCTCCTCTCGAAGACGGCGCCTCGGTATGTTCTACTCGATTGTTTTTTTTTACCCAATTGATTCGATATTGTTTTTTGATGTCTTATTGGACTTCCATATCTAAACCAAAATGTCCTGTAGTGTATAGCTTAATTTCCAAAATCTAAAATTTTTGTAGCCTTTTTTGAGTAAATGGATGGATTCAGTTCGTTTGAGTTCTCATGGTGCGTTGTTAGTGCCAGTACGAGAAAATGCATCGGAAATAACTCATGCATTCAACATTTGACTGTGTAGAGTATCAGTTATATCATGCTTATGAGTTATTTGTTTCTACAGAAAAACGTGTAATGTATCCCAATCTTTTCTCCCAACTATATAGAGGCATGGTCTATGACTTCTCGTTGTGCTTGTTTATCATCTGCTCTGTCGCATGCTTTCTCGAGTTACCACACTTTCATCGCTTCTATATAGCCAAGAGTCTTCTATTGTTAACTGGAAATATAAAGTGGGCTATATTTCATTCAAATCATTATAGATGATAGTTTGTAGCTTCTGATACTCTCAGTTCAGTATGAATCTGGAATCTCTGTCTAGTTTGTCATCAAATAATAACTAAACTTATAGTCATAGGTCATACTAGAAGGATATGCCAACTTTGTTGCCAAAATTCCTCAACATATCTTGTCCATGTCATGTCTAAACCTCTTCAATCCACAAATCTCACAAACCGTTCATCATCATAAGTATGCCATGTGGCAAAGAAATCCACCTAAGGCTTCCTGATATGATATCCACCCTAGGTAATCTCTTCTTGGATTCGCTTTTCAAACCCTCATGATGATGTGAATCAGCAAATTATCCCTTGATAGTAGTTTGGCTGGTTCAGTCATACCAATCCAAGTACGACGCTTGTAGCCTATTCTCCTACAGTTTGACTATGACTGATGGAAGTCATTGGTACATCATCAATGCAAAACCACTTGCAATTGCAACGGAAATGTTATTTTCATTGGTCTCACCAGTCTCCTCTCACTAAAGGGAGTCAACTGGCTGAGTGGCCGTTTCTGACCCACCCACTTCAAGTTTTTTCTTTTCTTTGGGAAAGGTACGCTGCTAAACCATCAGCGGTTATCTTTGTGGTTAGACTCCCACAAAACTCTATTTGCATTGTCATCCTCCACAAATCTAATTGCTAGATATTGATCTCAAATTTAGACTTATATGTTCTGCTGGATCAAAAATATGTTCATTGGGCCATTGTATAAGTTATTCAAAACCTGAATCGTATAAGTTAATAAAAACCTGAAATCTTGTTTGCTTGGTATCCAAATTATTGAGAGTGCGTGTTGCAAAATGCATTGAGATTATTCTTACAGGCACCAGTAGAATCTCAAATGACCAAGAGCAAGTCTCTCATCTTGAGTGCTCGCTTCTATTGCCATGCATCACTAGCTTTAGAAGGAACATGCCACACAACTTGGTTGGAGGGATATTTTCGTCTACAAGCAAGTCTAGCGGCAGTCGCACGCTACCTCGTTGGACCACATGACCATGCTGTTTCCTCAATCTTTTCCTATACAAATTCACTGCCAAGTTGTTTATTGTTACCGAAGTTGAATGGGAGAAAAAGTCAATTTACCAATTATGCCCCCTCTTTACAGAATCAAGATTTCGCAATCAAATTAGTGTGTTAAATTGTGCATATAAAACCGTAGATAATTGAATTTGCACAACAACTAACGCTCATATAGAAAGTAATTATATGCTCTATTAGTTGTTACTCGTGCAACTCAAAAGTGAAAATGTACAAATTTTACATGTAAATTTTATATAATCTTTTATTGAAAGTTTTCTTTGTAGTATAGATATCACCCCCAAAAAATCCTTTACTCTAAATTTCTAAAATGTCGAGCAAATAAATAAGCAAACACTGTACTTTGTGGCTACTGCATTTTTGCTATACTAACTGATTTAAGAGAGCTTTTTAAACCCATGAAAAAGTAACATGCTCACTAATTTAACATAAAGAGTGAAAATAATTACTCAGTTGAGGCATGATGATTAGAAGTCTACTAATTCCTCTAAATAATCTTCACTAAGCTGAAGCATTGATATTGACAAGAATTTTGGTTTCACATGACTAGTAGTTTTCTTTACATGAAAGCTTCAATAAATTGTACCTGCGCCATATTAAAAATAATAATTATTAAAAAATGATATAAGCCAAAAATGCTTAAAATTTTTATTTCTCTTTAACTGTAGCACTATCGATAGAATAACTCACATAAGTTTCCTCTTGTAAAATATGATGTCTTAAGAATGCTAACTTCAAGAAGTACTATTGAGTGTAAGAGTGTTATTTAAGAACAAATCTCCTCTCGTATTTTGAAATCCATACCTTTACATAGTTCAACAATTTCACAGTGTTCATCTCAAATATGTCTACTAATCTTTGCTCCATCTTCCGCCTCTTGGTCATTACTATTGACATGAACCATCCTTCAATCACTTCCATATGAATTATTATCTATAGCTTGATTTAAAACAAAGTCCTCCATGACACACGTAATGTGAATAATTGAATAAAAATAATCAATGGATTAAAATCATTAATTAGAAATAAAATAATAAGATTACTTAGAATGTTAAATACATAAAATCAAGAAATATAAATATAACTCAAATATAGATGTATCTGATATCTTCAAGTGAAGTTCTTCTCAATAAGCACCAATCAAGAGCAAACAAATTTTGCTAATTGAACAATAAAATAAAATCTGTAGAAAAAGAACAAATACTTAGGTTGAAAGAAGGGAGTGGAAAATGTGCTCTTCAGCGGCAAACGGTAAAAAAATTCTAATTACAACCAGAGCAATGTACAGAGGCGTAATGGTAAATTATCTTTTCCCCATTCAAAGGGAAAATGTGCTCTTCAGTGGCAAACGATAATAAATTCTAATTACAACCAGAGCAACATAAAGCACGGTAATGATAAATTATCTTTTCCCCATTAATTTTGTTCCCTGCAAGCTTGATAAAATTGACTTTAGAAACAACATGGACACTTAGTCCTATGAGGTAGCGCTTGTCTAGCGACAGTCGTTATAAGCGACTGCCTCTAGACTTCCTCTTTGTCTACACTCCTTTAGTAAGGCATGCTATTCAATTGATATTTTTACATCCCTCCCTTAGTCTGCCTTAATTGTTCTACTTATCCTTTTCCTGTTAACTTTTTCTGTATCAAATCTTTCTATTATTATTCATGGGCCATGGCTCTGAAATTGATAGAGATGATGCTGAGTTCATTAATAGGTCCTTTCCTTTGCCTTATTGTTAGCCATCACATATATTACATTAGAGTACTTTGCATTTTGCATGTTTCGCTAAAGATTTTCCTCATTGCTTTGGCATTAACAGAGAATATTCCTCATATATTTGCCACATGCTATTCTATGTTTTAAATTGATATCCTCTAACCTTGCTGCATGCAATTAAGAGCCATTAGCAATGTTTTAAAAAGCCTCGGCCTAGGTTGCATAGGCTCTTGCCTAGACTTAGGCGGTATCTAGGCTCCACCTTTCTTGGTCTTGAGAGCGCCTAGGGGAGTGAAGATCGCTTGCGCGGAATGTGTCGTTAGGTTTTGGTTGTGATTTCCTCTATTACTGCCTCCATGTCCTCCAACCACCTCAGAACTCTTCGGGCCTTCTCCATCGACTAAGAACTCCTCATCCACCTCCTTCGAACTTTAACAAAATCTCTCCCGTCTTTGCATAAAAAAATTATCCTAGGCCTAGTGCTTATGCACTAGGTGTCGGTGACATCTAGCAGTGCCTATCACTTTCGATAATACTGATGTAATTAAAAAATAAAAATAGGAAAATGCCTAGGCTCCCACCTAAGTGCCTAGGCTCTGGGCGTCGGATCCAACGCCTAGGCCTCTTAGCGCTTTCTGAATCTCTAGCTATTGGGAGCTCTTTCTTCCTCTCTCAAAGTTTTATTTTCAAATTGACCATTACATTATTGTTATACTCTATATGGAGATCATCTCACTTTCCAAATTGAGCATCCTAATATGCAAAACTATGAAAGACGGAGAGAGACTATTTTTGTGGAGGGTCCTAGGATCTGGCACTAAGGACTACCAAGATGATTGGACCATCTGCACCAGATTAGCGTTTTTCCAGTTCTTGGTTTCTTTGTAGAAACATCTTTCTGTTGGTTTTCACTCTTCTCTCTTGTGTCATCATTTCAATCATAGGTAATATTTTAAAAAGCGGTCTAGGCACTTGCCTAGACTCCCGACTGGATCTGAGCGGCACCTAAGCCACTTGCTTAGGTTTTGGGAGCGCTTAAGGGAGTGTGTGTTGCTTATACAAATTGCACCACTTAGATCTTGGTCGTAATTTCCTTCGCCATCGCCTCCATGTCCTTCGACCTTCATTGACATCCTCGTGTCTCCCCTACCAATTATGAACATCTTCTCACCTCCTTGACCTTCTGCAAGACATTATCCACCACAAATTTAAATAAAAAATATCCACCTAGCCCAGTGTGGGCATCCACCTAGGTGCGAGGCCCTAGATTGGCACCTAGCGCTTTCCGTAATATTGGTTACACGTCCATATCATTATTTTTAAAGGTGGTTTGAGTGCCTATCTTGGTGGAGCCGGTAACCAGACTGTCAATTTGTGCTTGGATGCTCTCACTTAAGCACCTACGGTACCTAAGGGAGCATGAACTGCTTAAGTGTGTCACACGGCGTCAAAATCAAGTATGCAAACTACTTGAGCATGGTCAGATTAAGAAAATGGATCAGATTAAAATAGATCAAGTGAAAACCAGATGTTCAAATCCAAATTAGGTAAAATGTCGAGTTTAGGGTTTCAGATCTTTTAACAAATTGTTTCCTCTCTTCGTGTCTGTCTTCTTTCAACCTTTCTCTTTGCCATTAGAGCCGTTGTCCTAGAGTCCCAACCATTGTTGAAGCCACCTCCTATAACTGTCAAAACTTGCAAGAAAATAATTTTATCTTTAATTTATAATTATTACATATAGTATTCCTTACAGTAGTGTTTACAAATTCATCTCATACATTATCTTCTTGCACTTTCTCTTTCTTCCTTCTTCCTGTCTTTTTCTTTCTTTTCTCTCTTCTTCTCCTGCTCCTCCTACCGTCCCAAAAGCTGATGCACTAGACACATAAATTGCTAAAAAAGGCCTAGACACTACTGAGGTGCTTGGCCCCAGGTCTGACACCTAGAAGCGCCCAATGGTTTCTAAAACGTTGATCCATATATCTCCAAGATTCTGCTAGGCTAGTCACATTTTTTAATTTGAATATCAAATAAACATAACACATGATAAAATTGGCCTTAACCAATTCTCCATCATGAATAAATGATTAATCTTTTTATTGAAGTTCAAGTTCCCATTATCATCATATAAGTCTGCTTTCTGTTTGCGTTCCTCAGGGGTAGCTTAGGGTGATTCCAGAATACAATATAATTACATATCCATTGATTCTCTCATTCCTTTGCCAATTATGTTCACGGTTTGGTAGTATGATTTTCTATGTTTTAAAGCCCCATAGGCCATAACCTCACCCAACCACCATCTCCTAACTTTTGATTATCCTGGTTTCATCCATTTGCCATATAATATCCCTTGGAGTTATAGTTTTGAAACTATCGTGGTCATTGCTCAGTTATTACTGACTGTTACTCATATGGTTTCAACGCCAGTAAGGTGTATAAGTTATACTCACAGATGCACTCACTTGCACCATACAAGATCTATGCTATCTGTTTGCAGATGATCCTTTAAACAGCCAGCAACAAGAAATGAAAGAAGCTGTCAAATTTGCATCCAGTTAGCAGTTACTGTGCTTCTATAATATGCTATTCATACTAGTGATTTATAAAATATCATTTGAGTTTGGTTCTTTTATATGATAGTTTTAAATAAATGTTATTGAATTGTGATTACCGCTTCTTTCATGCGTATTCACATGCTGAACGGACTCACTCAGAGTTATCACTTAATTTCTTACATTGTCTGTTCAGTGTAGTATGCTGATTCATATTAAAGTATCATTGAGGGCTTTCAAGATATTCAAAACACTTAGCCCCTTATCTCTGAGCGGAGATTGTATCAACCTAAGTTGCACATTGTTGATGGCATATCGGGGGAATAAAGAATAGATAGATATGGAGACATACATCAATTATAAGGCTTTTACACATATCTTAAATGTTATACCTGTCTTTACTCTTCTTGGGAAACTTGAACGATTTTCTGTCTCATTTGAACTTAATCCTCACTAAGTGGCTCTATACTAAACTGTCTTCAACTTGGATTTGAAGCGAAACAATTACTAAGGAACTTTTTATGTAATTCAAACTTCATTATATTGATTGTTCATCCACCCTGTGGTCTTAGAATTTCCTGGAAAAAGTATTCCACATAGCATTATACTCTTACTCCCTATTCATATAGGCAGGAAATTCAGCTAGTGCTTATGCAACTTCATTTAATTTGAACAGCATATTTTAGTCCAAAATCCTATATAGTTCCTTGAGTCAAGATTTGCTGTTTTCTTGCATGTGTTCAACATGCTTAAATAACAATTTATCTAATTTATGTACAAGTGTTTTTCCATGTCATCTGAAATTGACGTTCATGGATTATTATTCGTTCATGGATTATTATTCTCTTGCAGTTGTACGTTATGCAGTATCCTCTTAGGCCTTCCTGGCGTCCGTATGAATTGGAAAGATGTGAAGAGGTACAATAAAATGATTATAATAGGCATAGTTAAGCATTTTCTACTTTTATATTCTAGGGCAATTTTCATGTACTCTTTGTTTTGTTTTCTTTGTTCAACTAGTTCTCATGCAACATGTTGAACTGTATTTTGTTGCCTTAGGTCAGGGTGAAGCCTAAACAAGCAAAAGTTGAAGTTGATTTGAAATTGGATACTGACAGACAAAATTATGACCCAGAGAAGCCTGTCTTGAATTTAGAAAACCTGGTGAGTTCTATTATTGAACTATATTTTATGATGGATATGCATTCTTTGTGCACACAAGAGGAGATGGTTCTGATACTCTTTCACATTGAAAGGAGGATATTTGTATGGGCAACAGAATGTACAAATTGTATAATGCATCAAATCCTTCAATAAACTATTCTAGTATATTTTAAAAGCGAAGGTCATCTGCTTCAGACATACATATCATATAATAATAGTAATAGTTAGAAACTATACATTTTCCTTTTTTATTCTTTAGACTTTAAAACAACTGGTATCTACATATTGATGGTCCTGTTACGATTGGTTCCCGTGTTGAATTAATAATCACCATATAATCTAAAATTTACTAGTACCCATGTTATTTATGCTTTATGGATAATGGTTAATTGGTTCATATAAGAAAATTTACCCACATATAATTATAATAACTAACTAGTACGGGTGACTAATGCATGATGAATCCATTTTTAAAAAAATAAACAGGCCACTTGATGATTATTCAAACTCACTTTAGAAGAAAGAAATGCTGAAATAATTTGAGTAGTGCATAATTATGCAAACAGCGTCTAATAGTTATTTGTATGCTTTTACTTATTAAAGAGAATTTTTTACTAATTATTGTATCTGGTCAATATATCTTCTGGTAAGGATGTAGCTATAGTGTATGCTGGTAGAAAAGAATGCAACAGGAGTTTTCTAGATTTACTCAATGTTTTTGGGATTTTGATAATAGAAAGAATGCACCAATATATTTGAGATTTAGTGTTCTTTTTTTGGATTTCGATAATTTATTTTTTGCTTAGTTGAATTTCTTTTGTTGCCTGCCGTATATGTATGTATAAATACATGAAACAATTTGATCAAAGGGTTAGCAAATAGCTTTGGAGCTAGAGCAGTAATCTGGCATTTTTGAGCCCATTATCATCAGTATCATATGTTTTGTACCATCAAAGTATGGCTTTTTTCATAATATAAGGCTCTATGAAAGATTTGACAACTTCTTACATAGGCTGTGTCAACTGGGATCAATAAATTGATAGCAAATTCCTACAAAGGAAACTATGAACAGGATAAGCCTGCCATATGTTCTAATCCCCAGAAAACCACTTGACTGGTAGAACAACATGCTTTTCTGGGACTGCAATTTGAGCTAAGGATCTACTCCCCAGATTCCCTGTATCCATAAAAGAAGGGTCATGATTACGGGTGCATTCGGTCTGGATACGGCTCGGATATGATGCCTACCATATCCATATCCGCTTACTCATCTCGGATACGGTTACGGATACGGATATACTTCGGTAAGGAAAATTCATATCCATATCCGCTAAAATCGGATACGGTTACGGATATACATGCGGATATATAAGCGGATATGTATGCAGATACAAAACGGATATGAGAAAGCTAGATAGTATTGAGAAAAACATAGTTCATGTGATACAAAAGAGTTTGTTTATATGTTTCATTATATCTGAAAAGTTAAGATTAGACATATTGATCATCAAAATTAACTACAAATCCATAATCTAAGAATCGAAACTATCGTAAGAGTATGACTAATATGTATTCGGATATTTCGGATACGGATACAAATATTTCACTATAAAACCATATCTGTAACCATATCATATCGGTTATAGATTTGAGTAACCATATCCGTATCCTAACGGATACGGTTACGGATATTTCCTCGGATACCCATATCCGTATCCTAACGGATACGGTTACGGATATTTCCTCGGATACGGATACGGTTTAGCACCCCTAGTCATGATAGACGAATTTTCTATTGGAGTAAAAATGTAAGCTATTCTGGCACTTATAATGCTCTAGACCCAAAGATAATTGTCTCCAAAAAGAATTTTTATTTTTCTCGCTTATGCTCGAAGAATTTTTATTTTCCTCGCGTATGCACTGCACTTCTATCTCCAATGATCTGTACATTTATCTCCTCAGAATCGTTCTTACCTTTACAAAATCGTTCTTATGTTTCTAGTCATGATTATAGCCTGAGAACTGAAAATGAGTTACAATTTTCATTAAACTTGTTCATGGAATAGTACACAAAACTATTACTGTTTCCACCTACTTTTAGCTTATACAAGTTGTAATATTGCACTGAATATTTTGGCTAGATACATTTCTTATTGGCGTTATGCATCTCAAAAATAAAGCAGTGATTTCTTAACTCCTCTTGCTCCACCTCTTCATAACTACACAATTTTATCTTTTGCCTTCGACAGACATTGTCATCATCCAGGGGACTTTGTGTACCTTACTTTGCTGTTGGGATTAGAAATGGAAATCAGGTCAGTTCTATGCTTGGAATTCATGTAATATTTTTTTTCTCAAGCTGATATAAGTAGAGCTGTTTGAATAATTCTGTGATCAATGGGTTTATCGCTAATCTACAAGTTATTTCTGTTCCATTTTGGAATTAACATCCAATGATTTAAGGACTAATGAAGATTATTAGGTGACAAGTTTTCAAGATCCCATGTTTTTTTGTTTTGTTTCAGACAGCAATGTTTAATCATAAAGTTATTAGTTAGCTTATATGTGTGCATATTTTTTGTATCTTATCTTGCTTTTTTTCTGTTCTTGTTTTCTAATGCCTCTTAGGTAAGCCTTTGCCTTCAAAAATTATTTGGTATATTTTCCTATCAGATAATTCTAATAGGCTGACATTTCTTCATGGTGACTGAGGGTTATGGTGGGGCCATTATATTGTTTGCACTTCACTAACTAGCAACTACAATAGTTAGAGGAAACTATGCTAAATATGCCTATTATTTGTTCTTAGCACAAAAAGGCAGCACATAATGAAAACTGCAGGATATGACACGAGGTTTCATAGACAGCTGCTCTACTCGAGCATTATGAAGAGTTCATCTGATATCCACCTTTATTGACATTGTATATTTCTAAAATGTTCAATGTTTCTGTTGTCTGTTTATGCATGTCAAAACATATTGCATAATACATATCATGGCCTACTGTCTACTGATAGCCTGCTTCGATGTTTCTTTGAGTAGCATACTTCTTTTTGCTTTTGTTTATCATTTATCAATTTTCTATTGAACAAATTACATAGTGCAGTCTTGAATATGGGTCTCCCATAATCCAAACTCCCATTTTATTGCTGAATGAGGCCTCGGTGGCTTTTATGGTTGCACACCTAGGTTACCTGGATACTTTCGTATTGTGTTGTATCTGTTTCGAACACGAATTTGCCATGGACATACCATGGACACATGTTTCAAAGCAAAACCCAATTTCCCCATTACTTAATACTCCTAAACTAGTTTCTTTGGTATATCGAACTCGTTGTTCTTGTACCTGAAAACCGAAACCCTTTACTTGAAGATTTGAAAAAAAATGCCCATTGTGTCATGCGAATAAAAGTAAAATTTTGTTGTCAAACCTTACTTCTGAGTGTGATTTTACTTAGATTCTTAATTGTTATAGATAGTAAAAGAAACATACAAATATTATATGTATTTTAATTCAATAATTGATCTAATGTAAATATGATATGCATGCATGCATACATACATATGTATGTATGAGTGTGTGTGTCTGTGCATGCGTGTCCCCTTATCCTGCCTTTCACAAATTTTCCATGCCACATATTATATGTATTTTAATTCAATAATTGATCTAATGTAAATATGATATGCATGCATGCATACATACATACATATGTATGAGTGTGTGTGTCTGTGCATGCGTGTCCCCTTATCCTGCCTTTCACAAATTTTCCATGCCACATGTCTGTGTCTGTTTCCGTGCCTGCAACCACACCCGTATCTGTGCAACTGTTTCAAATGCTACCACTTTTGTAGTGGCATATGTTTGAATTATTATTATTATTATTATTATTATTATTATTATTATGTTGGAAGACCTGAAAGTTAATGATTAGATTCAAGGTTTTAAATGTTGGATGTCGGGTTCATGTCGGATGGTTAAAATCCATGTCGGATAGCGGAAATCGGGGATATATCGGGGGACATTTACTAAATATCGGATTGTCATATCGGGTAGTGCGCATATGTATAATATCATGTCCTAAATGTAATCTAAGCATTCATAAATTCAATATAAGCATACTTTATAAATTCTATAGACTAGACATATAAAAAAGTAAATAATATATGGATTTGGGTTCATAAATTTTTTCTATCGGGTTCATAAGACACCTTTAAACATGAGAATGGGTCAAACGAGTTTGGGTATTTATCACTAAACCCAAACCCGATAACAAAAAACAGATCTTAAAAAAAAGTATCATATCAGTCGATTTTTAAAGCTAAAAAATCGCCTGATATGCCCGATATGACCCTGCTATTTCCGATTTGACCCTGAAAACCGACATACGAGTTGAAAACGTCTATATCGTGTCGGTCAAGCCCTCAAACCGATATGTCGGCCGACATGTCGGACATGTCGGCCGACATTTAAAACCTTGATTAGATTGTCCTCAATGCATGGATATCTATTTGGTTTGCCTGTCCAGCATCTAATGATACAGTCTATGACTTTTGACTTTCTTTCCATATTTTTTGTCTAATTCTGTGGAAATATAAGATTGCCTTTTATTTTCTTGCTATCTTCCAGCTGCACTTAAGCCCTGTTGATTCAGTTGTGCAGCTTCGTCCATCAATAAATGTTGGCGAAGAGAAGAGGAAGCAGGCTGCCCCAAGTATAGATGCTAATACAAACCCTTTACAGGTAAGCTTTACATTAAATTAAGCTCTCTGTCCAGTGACAAGTTTACCAGAAAGCCTGACTTGATTTCATTTGGCTATGGATACAAATCTAATACCATGTCAAACAATTGCTATCGACTGCTAGTCTGGAAAAGAAACCCTAAATACAATTTCTTTCCCTTCTAAATCTATGAAGCTTCAATGGGGGATATAATAGATATTTTAATTCAGATACTTCGCCTCCTGTTTCTTTAAATGTATAATGTATTATTTCAAGATGATATGAAATCCTTTGTATACATCCTGTACGGTATGAAGTGCTTCCTGACAAATTGAAGAAAGGGCTATCAGTCCAGAGAATATGGTTGCCACAACAATACCCTGGCACAGTAACCTCACTAGTTAGCCTCCACTGAGGGTTTCCTGCAGTATGTGTGTGTTTGAGAGGGTGGTGGTATTGTTCTTTTTGCTAATGCTCTTCCTCTCCTTCCTACGTCTGTTCATGTATGCAATGTAATCTTAAGTGTTTGGATTGCAGGATTTCTTTTAAGTTGGTTTGATTGCTCACCTGATTGGTAGAAGAAGAGACAAAAAGAAACTTAGTAGTAGAAAGCTAGTCTAGCATTAGAAAATAGCTTGCTTTTACTGTCCAGAATTAATTCAATTGAACGAGGAAATAAGAAGAAGACAATGTGGTGATAATCAGAAACATTTAAAAGGGAGGAAGAGGAAGAGAATAGAAGATGCAGAAAGTATGGTAGATAATGAGGCCATAACCTTTAACTCAATTTTTTGTCTCCTTTAACTACTTCTGCCATCATATTAAGTATTTATAGCTACAAATGAGGGCTAGGAATTCATAATTGACTTCTGATTGAACATGATAAAAGTGGGACTTCCTGGATCATTCCGTACCAATTTAGATAAATCTTATCTAATACTTATCACTCGTACGTACTAAATGGAAAATGTAACTATTTTTTCGATTAAGTATGCATTAATAACATTCAAGTCTACATGAGTATGTTTGCATGCTGATCAACGTCAAGAACATACTGCGAAAATTATCTCATGGATTCATATATTCTACTTTTGATTTTTTCGTCTGCCCCGTTTGTGCGAATAATGCCATATTAGTTGCTTGGAAATATCATCGTCACTAATTGCTTTCTTCATTGATTCAACATTTGGATGACTAAGCTTTATATGGAATTGTAGTCTCACCTTTTGGAGTCTCTTTTAGGAGGAAAAAAAATTAATGTACTAGTTGTGTTTGTAGACTTTATTTTCTGGTACTTCTAATAACAATTAATTTTTCCCAACATCCAACACTCGGTAAGTACTATTCCATTTGCAATCATTTATGTGGTCTGTTTCACACTTCACTAAGGCACATGCATAATGATTCATTCAGTCCACGACAACTTCTTGCCAGTGAGATGTCTTCATCAGAGTCCCTCCCATTTTCTAGATTGATATAGAATCTGGAGAATTAATTAGGCAGATGCCAAAGAGAATAATAAAGCTCTCCATAAAAAATGAAGATTGTTTTAGATCATGTTAAGAAAAGTTCAAACAGGTTTGATAACTGACCTCGAAACTCTATCTGGCTGATACTAGTGCCTATTTAATTACTTTGAAGTCCATATATCCCGTCTAATGGATTAACTCGATATCAGTGGAAAAATTGGCAATGAGGGTGTTGTACATTTTATTTCTTTGTAAAGAATCTTTATGAAACGTACATGCATGTGCAATTTGGAAGAGGCTATGTGGAATCTGGCAAAAGCAGGTGTACTCTGGAGAATCTGGTATGCATCAGAGTCAAGTATAGGATAACTTCTTTGCTATTTTCGAGATACTTATACATACCTTGAGAATATGATTTGTAGAATCTGACTTCAGGATGTACTCTAGATATTCAGTTAGTTTGTAATTGTAATGAATATGTTTCACATATCACGTGTTTCTCGGTAACTCTCTTCGATGCAGTGAGGCTTACCCTAGAGTTTTAATATAAGATAGTGCAATATGGTGAGATATTTTCTCTTATGGTTTTAGCGGTTCTGTTTGTTTCTTCTATTTAGAACCACCACACTTCTTTTGTCTTATACAATGCCATAGCTTGTTGGGAAAACTTGCACGCAGTGTAGCATTTCTTCACTTTGACATCTATTCAGTACGACACAGACCAATACATTCACCTTAGTTTCTTGCAAAATTTTGCAAATTTATCTGAGGATAAACTTTTGTTCTTGTTGCATTTTGTTGTGTTCTCTCAGCAGGGAAATGCAGTGTCAGGGGATTCAAGTGAAAATCTAGATGATGCTGATGTAAGAAACTTTGTTTACTAATCTGTAGAACATCTTTTTTTTTAAATTTACTTTCAGTTGATCAAAGTTCAGCAGTCAGTACATGTGACAATGGATTGTTATACATAAAGAAAAAATAATCTATCTTCCTTGCAAAACCACTGTTGTTTGGCTGAGGTAGGTATGGGTAGCGTGCTTCCTTTGTTTTAAATGGAAGCAGTTGTTTAATGTAATAAAAGAAATTAACCTTGGTATGGTGATGCTTATTATAGGCCTAGATGTGTATGCATTTATCATTTTCAAAGGGAAATTTTTGTAAATATGAATGTTTGAAACTTTAGTAAACAGAAGAATGTTGAGACCACAAGCTATTCATGTTGTAATATCTTTCGATTTAGGGTTTGTAGAAAATACATCTTTATGTCTTCATGGAATTTTACAGTTATCCTTCCCATATGGCTGTTTCTGTACATTAGTCTGAACCATCTATTATTTTATGTATTCATTTACCTTGTACCATATTTAATCATACAGTAATGGGTTATTCGCCCTTTCTTCTACAATTAATTATTTTATGTTCTTTGCGTCTTTTCATCCCTCAGCTTCAGTGGCTACAATGTCCTAGATTCCAAAACCCATACTTACCATATGGACATCCCAAAATATTGTTATCCTACAAATCCTTCACCCCCCCTCCCCTGACGTCTATCACCCTATTTTCTCTGTAACCACAACGAGAGAATTTGTTATCTTCGTTCTGCTCTAATACTACCAGCTTCATGCTTTGTCTGTTCATTCTTTCCTCAAATGCTTCACAAGAAGAAAGTTCTATTCTTAGTCCCTTTCACTGAACCTTGTGGCATTTTTTCGTTCTTTGATTAAAATTTTGCGACCAATAATTTGATGGGTCTAAGACTCTGTACTTTGAGCTATTTGAACTTGATTTGCTTTTTCTTTCAACAATCACTCAACATGTAGTCATGCAGATGTGTTTAGCCTTTCATAATGGTCAGCATGCACCGAGTTTTTTTGCATTCCAGTTTTTTTTCACTTTTGTATTTTTCCTTTAATATGTCTTCCTTTTGAATTTCGTATATACTAATGGTAGCTCATTCCTGTCCTCAATTTGTAGTCTCAGTTTGTACACTTTTTAGATTTTTTATTCTTTTTTTCCTGGATCTCTTATTATATAATATATGAGTTCTCATATTCTATGTTGAAAACCACAGCCATGGGTTTCACTTGAGTGTCACTCGATTGACAGTCCTCTTGCGGATAGTTACCAGAAAAAAATGGTGGCTGAGAAGAATAATGATATACAATTTACAGTGAAACCGTAAAGTTCATCTTTTACTTATCAATTACTCTTTTTTTCTTGTCATCCAAATATTTGATGATGAATATGTTTAAATTGTTCAAAGGCATGAATACATCAGCTTCTTGTGTCCTGGATCATCAAGCAACAAGAAGGGAGCTCTAGGACCTTCTAAAAGGTGTATACCTGAACTCTGGTTTCAACTCATTGGCTGACATATTTTATAGATATGTCCTATATTCTTATGAAATGAAAGACTGGAGCTGGTTCTCTGGATGTGTTTTGTATGTCTTCCAGTCCTAATTGTTAGAGTTAAAAATATTTATTCTGCTGTTTATCATGGTTTATCGAGTTTCATGAGTACTATCTATTCTTCTACTGGATTAATTGCTTTAGTTTATGTGAATTTTATACCTTCATATATATCATGAGTACTATCTATTCTTCTACTGGATTAATTGCTTTAGTTTATGTGAATTTTATACCTTCATATATACAAGTTGCTTGGGTTGGTTTCGGTTGTTCCATATCCAAGAGTGGCCTCCAAGGGTTTCAAAGTATCTAGATCGTGATCTTTATTTCTGTTGCCAATGTGTATTCTCTGCTCCATATATCTAAGCAACTCGTTTCAATGTTTGTCTGTTGCCCCACCTTGAGGTGTGTGGGAAAATCTATAAACATTCCTTTGGTTTTAACCACTAAGCCAGGTAGATCAAGATGGCCTGAGTGATTTGCAATTTGGATTCCCTACCAGAGGTTTATATGGCCAGGATTTGGCCCAAATTTTTCCTGTAAGAGCTGATGATAGTCACTAGATTGTGGCTTTTGGACTAGACATAGGGCGTCACAGCCATGGTTTTATCAGATCGTTTTTAGTTCATCTCCTTTTTTACTGCCAGTTCCAGGCAAAGTCATTTCTTTGTCAGAAATCAACATCGAAACAGAGTAAGATTCTATTAGAACACCCTATATACCATACACGGCGGTTAGAGGGTTCGATTGGAAATTGTGACTACTCAATCAATAGTGTAAACCAGCCCACTCCTATAGGGGTGGTTTTAATAGGATCCCTACTGATCAAAACAGTCTTGTTCACTTTTTACAGCATAACTTTTCAATGTATTTGTCTACCTTCTTTTCTGGTAAATGATATATGTAAATTTTAGTCTAATATGCCTGGAGTTATGGTCCTGGATGAGCAGAGAGTCAACAGGGACCTTGTCTTTATCTGTAATGATCTAAGCAAACCTTTAATACCCCAACCCTCCCACGTCAGAAGTGGAGAAGAGATTTGTTGGCTTTAATCGTTAAGTTGTGGGTTTTAAGTGTAGCATCGGCTAGTCGATTCTGGCAGTGGTTTGAGTCAAACAACGCACTACAATCCGGATCCCATGGCTTATAGAGCGCCAACAGGCTTGCTGGCCCAGAGTGCGACAAAATCCATCAGTGAGCAACAGTTATTTTTGTTGCATTTTTCAAATGGGAGATAGGGAACAAGACTAGAACCACTTGGATTCCAACGAAAAACTTGTGCGTCGAAAGATGAAGCATACTTCTCACCCTTTGTGAAGCCAAGTATCAAATTTTCAAGCTTCAATCCTTATCTGGAAGATTAATGTTGATCAGCTTTATACTGGTACTCAGTGTCAATGTTTTTTGCAAAGTTATTCATTTGTTGTCCAGTCCTTGTATTTTTTTTCCTCTTTGATCAGGTAAAAATTGTAGATTTAACAATAAATGACCTTTGACGAAACCTTTATCTTCTACAAAGTAAAGTTTTTAAAATATATTTCTGACAGTACAAATTATTTCCTTTTCTTGTATTTCTTATTATAACCAATTTGTATCTTTTCTTAACGTGGCTGTTGCATAATGCTTGTTAGGCCTTGTTAACAAGGTATAATGTTTTCCTAAAACTATGTCAGAATATTTTATAGCTATTTTTCTTGGTTGTATACTGTTTTCTCCTACGAGGTTAACTATTCTTAACTTGTATTAACTTTTCATATTTTTTTCCTAAAAATATGTCGGAATATTTTATAGCTATTTTTCTTGGTTGTATACTTATTTTCTCCTACAAGATTAACTATTCTTAACTTGTATTAACTTTTCATACTAAAATTTTTCTTCTTTTCTACTAGTTTAACAATTTTTTTAAGGTTTTCACGCAAGCCTTGTGTTAGAATCTCCACTCCGTTTCATTACTATTATTTTAAATCTGAGCAATCTTCACGTCCTTTGGATCTCAATAAACGCATCAGTTATTCATCATTTAAAATATTTCAGATATTCTTAATATCTAATCCTATGTTTTCTTGAATTATTTATGCTTTAGGGACTTGCTCTTGCTTCCATTGGAAGAACGACTGAAAAAGTGGTTTTCAGAGGTAAGTCTTCCAAGTTATTTACGGTATTTCTGATATGTAATATGTAGAGAGATGTTAGTCAATGTCAGTATCCACATGCTAATTCAAGATCTGACAGAGAAAGAAACTTTATTTTATTTTATTTTATTTTTTTGAACCATGTTTTAAGGTGCACTAGCGAATAGACAGTCTACTGTTCATCTTTGCTATGTACTTTGATTGTTTTGAGGAAGGGGTGTTCCTATGTACTTTGATTGTTTTGAGGGCACTTGCTGATTATTTAATGCTGAACTTTTTTCTTCTGAAGTTCCTCGTAGTTCTTTGAATAAAGTTTACTGTATAACTACTCTAAATATCTGATTTCTTTGATCTTAATACTTACGGATTTGTATACTTTTGGATGCAGGGACCACAAGTGAATCGTTTTTCTGCGCTTTTACATCTTGCCCCTACGAATTCAGTTGAAGATGTTCTTAAGGTGCTTAAACTGTATGCACACTTGGTCCAAGGATTATGGGTTGCCAAGAGTTCTTTGGTATACATTGGTGTTGAAGCTTCTGCCAGAGATTACATCCTTTCCCTATTTGCTAAGAATTGTGTGATCCGCTATGACACAGAAAAAAGATTGCCTCCTCTTGTACAGCAAATATTAGGCCGGATAGCAGTTCATAGGCCTAGTCTTAATGACTGGAAATTCAAAGAGCCTACTGATCTGTCATTTATAAAATGTTATCCAGATATTGTTAAAGAACAAGAACAGGCATGGGCAGGCCGTGTGAAACAGCTTAGGGACTCTTTGGTTGGAGCTCAAAAAACTAAGGAAAGCCAGTTTATGGATAATTTGATAAAATCTTTAAACCCGCATTTGCTCAAGAAGACCGTTGACTTGAGAGAAGTTAAGCATACTCCAAAGGATGGTATTGATAACACAGTAATCTCTTCAACGACAACCATGCTAAATGGAACTCGAGAAGATATCAACAAGGCTCTCTTAGAGATTTTCCACTTGCATGGTGCTCGGAGGTAATTCTTATTCTAACTTCTATGTCTGCCT